GGGGGGGGGGGGGGGGAGGGTGGGTTAAAGAGGAAGGTCATAGAAGGATTGGTGATTAAGGAAGGCATATAAATGGTATGTTTACAAAAAACCAAGTAATAGAAAATAAATATGTGGGATTGCCAAGGGTTATGGGGAAATTTTGAGTTGGAGTGGATGGAGGTGTCGGCTACCAATTTAAGTGGAGGGATATTGTGCATTTGGAGTTAGGAGTTTTTTTGAAAAAAAAAATAATAATAATTTGTTTCAAAGTTCGGAAGGGATTTGGAAAAAGAAGGTAGTACAAGTGACGATTGTAAATGTATACTCCTCTTGGAGAGCACGTAATAATGAAATTTGGTGTATGGTGGGTGACTTTAATAGCATAAGAAGAATAGTAGAGAGACAAGGGGAAGTCATGGGATGGGTGGAAGTGGTGAAAGGAGAGAATTCAACCAATTTGTCCTGGATATGAAATTGGATGATTTGCCAATGTTGGGAAAATAAGGTCTACATGGTATAGACCAAATAAGAATGCAAAAGGAAAGATAGATAGGGTGTACTCAAGGGAGTTGTATGACATTTGGGGAAGGGCATCACAATTTATACTTGATAAGAACATATCGAATCCTGTTCAATTGTCATTAAATCAAGCCATGTTGATTAGGGTTCTTAGCCTTTTAGGCTCATGGATTACTGGTTAGTTGATAAAGAGATTGGGAAGGTGATTGAAGATAGGTGGAAGAAAAATCAATTACAAGGAATAGGGCTTGGTACTAAAGGAAAAAATAAGATTAAAGAGAAATTTGAAAGTGTGGAATCAAGGGAAACTAAGTGACATGAAGAGGGAGATAATAGAGGTAACAAAAGAATTAAATGTTATTGAGAAAAAAAGGTGACATTGGGGGTTTGTGTGAAAATGAGTTAATGGAGATGAGGAAGCTTCAAGAAAGGTTTTGGAAGTTGTTAACAAAAAATAAATATATTGTGCATTATAAGTCACGAGTAAAATGGTTGTTAGAGAGGGATGGAAACTCGAGATATTATCATACAATTGTTAATTGGAAGAGAGAAAAAAACATGTTGAGGGGACTACCTATAAAGGGGGAATGGTGCGAAGAGCCAAATAAAGTGAAAGAGGAAGTCCATAATTTTTTTAGTAGGCATTTCAAAAAGTTACTAGAGAAGACAATTTAATGCTAATGGCTAAGTTTGATGAGGAAGAAGTCAGGGAAGCAGTGCTAGCTTGAAAAGCCCAGGGTCGGATGGACTAATTTTTAGGTTCATTAAGGCTTTTTGGGAGGTTAGGAAGAAGTTTATTGTGTTATTAGAGGAATTTCATACAAATGGAAAATTCTCAAAAGGAAAAAATATGACTTTTATTGCTCTTATACCAAAGGGATATGATCCAAAAGGATTGGGTGATTATAGACTCATATCCTTGGTTGAATTTATAAGATTCTCTCCAAGCTACTAGCAAAAAGATTGAAAAAAGGTGCTAGACAGGGTTTATTGATCAAAGACAAAGTGTTTTCCTATGTGGAAGACAACTTCTATATAGTGTGACGATTGTTAATGAAGTGGTTGAGGAAGCTAAGAGGATGAAGAACAAGTGCATCATTTTTAAAGTAGATTATGAAAAAGCATATGACTCGATAAATTGGGAATTCTTATTCTATATGTGAGAGAGGTTGGGTTTCTGTAATACTTAGGTGAGGTAGATCTAGGGATGTATGACATCGACACCTATATCTGTGTTGGTAAATGGTAGTCTAACTAATGAGTTTGGGATGGAGAGAGGACTTCGATAGATGGATCCTTTGGTGCCATTTCTCTTTATAGTGGTGGTTGAGGGCATTAGAGGATTGATGAAATAGGCAACATAAAATAATATGTTTGCGAGCTTTAAAGTGAGAAAGAACAAAATGGGTACCAATATAGTGCAATATGTAAATGATACAATCATTTTTGGGGAAGAAAATTTACATAATGTCATGGTTGTGAAAAACATGTTTAGATGTTTTGAGATGGTTTCATTAGTGGAAAAAAAGGCTTTTAAAATTGGTTATTTTTCACTTTTAAAATCGGTTCCGTAACCGATTTTAAAAAAGTCGATTTTAAAAATTGGACTTTTAAAATCGGTTAAATAACCGATTTTAAAAGTTAACTTTTAAGATCGGTTGTCTTATAATCGATCTTAAAAGTTCTGGTCGAGAAAAAAAATTAAACTGGAACAGGCCGTTCCAAAACTAGAACTGGCCGTTCCAAAACTGGAACGGGCCGTTCCAGATTATGAAAAAGACTATTTGAAGAACGGAATCAGAATGACCCGTTCTCCTTTCAGTACGGGCCGTTCTTATTGGAGAACGGGCCGTTTTCCTTTCAGAACGGGCCGTTCCAGCTTCGAAATTTAGCAAAAATGAACCTACAACGAAAACAGAAACAAGAAAAGCACATGAGAAAACGAAAAGACACATAAGAAGAGGAAAACGAAAACGAAAATGACAACGAAATTTACCTCTTTAGAAAATGAGAGCGCGAGAGAGTAAAAAAACGAATGGACGGAAAGATTAAAGAGAATGAGATTGGAGGGAAATATAAAAGGTTTCTGACGATACTTTTAAAATCGGTTATTTAAGAACCGATTTTGTATACTACATACAAAATCGGTTCTGAAATAACCAATTTTAAAAGTAGTACTTTTAAAATCGGTTATAAAATAACCGATCTTAAAAGTACTTTTAAGATCGGTTGTTTTATAATCGAACTTAAAAGTGTTCATTTTATTTACAAAATTGCCACCGCGTCACTTTTAAGATCGGTTACCTTATAACCGATCTTAAAACTCCAATTTTAAATCCAATTTTTGCACTAGTGTTTCAGGTTTAAAGGTGAATTTCCATAAAAGTAGTTTTGAAGCCTTTGGTGTCGAATCAAGTACGGTAGGAAGGTATTGGTGCAAATCTAATGAGATTAGGGACTTGGGAAGGTATTGTTGCAAAGTTATAAACAAATTAGCATCTTGGAAACATAAGATTTTTTCTTTTGCCAAGAGTGCGTTTAATCAACTTTGTCTTTACTACTCTTCCTTTGAATTTTTTTCCTTCTCTAAGATGCCAAGTGGTGTTGTAAAGAAGGTGGACACATTACAACAAAATTTTCTGAGGAGGAAAAAAGAGTAGTAAGAAAGTAGCCCAAGTGAGATGGGAATGTGTTTGTGATGAGAGAAAGAATGGGGGCTTAGGAATTAAAAGTGTTTCTATGTTTAATGATGTACTATTAGTCAAATAGAGATGGGGACTTTGGCAATAGAGAAAGGATTTATGGGTAGAGGAACTCCAACCAAAGTATAGGGTTGGAGGGGTTTATGTAGGGATGAGGAGAAAAAAAAGATCAATATGGTGGAGAGATTGAGAAAATTAAGTGTGTCATGGAGAAAGTATGGGAAAATGGTTTCGTAGGGTTTGTAAGTGGAGAATAGGTGAGAGGGGGAGTTTCTTATTTTGAGAGGATCATTAGGTAGGTGGAGGGAGTTTAGAAGAAAAGTATCTAAAAATGTATTTTAATTCAATGCAAAAGAACTCATGGGTGGCAAACATGGGAGCTTGGATGAATGGCATTTGGGAATAGGGATATAGGTGGAGACGAGAGTGGTTTGAGTGGGATGTAAGGATCTTAAACGGGAGATAGAAAGTATAACACCGATACATGGTATGGATACAAGAACCTATGCAATTTTTTTTGCCAAATCTGCATATTAGGTCTTAAAGAGTATTAGAATTTGTGGAAATAATAAGGAAGTCTACAATTTATTATGACAGTTAACAATACTACCTAAAGTTATATTTTGTATGGAGGTTTTTCCATCAAGGGTTGTCAGTCAAGACTAGATTGAGAAGAAGAGGAATATAGTTGGATAATGATTGATATAAGTGTGTTTTCAATGAGGAGGAAGAAGAGACCTTGTGACATGTGCTTTTTAATTGTAGTAAGATTTACCCAATATGGGTGACATGTTATAAGCTAGATGTGGAAGCATGGAGTGATTCTTAATATTATGGAATTGTGACATGTGCTTTTGAAAGGTAAAGACTCACTTTCGTGACATTATGGTTTGTA